TTACTAACTTGTAAACTGTCGTAACATAAAGCTTCACTTATACAAAAAACATTCTTTTATATAAAGCATATTTTTACATAAGGATTAACTTTTTTTAAACATAAAGCTCAATTTTTTAACATAAAGTAGCAAACTTTTATGAAAGTTGTTACTAAAGCTAAAATAAAATTTGTCTATTTATTTTTATTTTGAGGTTACGGATTTAAAACATAAACTTTTCGAGTTTAAGGAGCAAATCTAAACACTAAAAAATAATATTATAAATGAAAGTTTTATTCTAATAACCTAAATAACAAAAGTAATCGTACAATAAGAAAGCAGCTTTGCTATTTTAGTTAACATCATTCATTAAGGATTAGCAGTCGTTTTTAGAGGATAAATGGTAATAAAAAGCACGATTTTCCCATTACACTGAATCCATTTATTAATGATCTTAAAAGTGAAATCGATGTAGCTCAACATGGTGAAAATTGAAAATACGTTGTTAAGTCACGCTCGCTTAACCGGATCCCGAGAAATAGAAAGAGACGTGTTAATCGTGGCGTAACGTAACTAAGGGGTTATGAGGGTAGAAAGAAAAATCAAAATCCACTTTCTTACAAGGATGAATAGATATGTTAATAATGGAAAATAAAACAGAAATATCATTAATTTGTACCATCTATTATTATATTACTATAATTATGTTTTTATTAACTGGTTTTCGTGATGATGGAAATCTGGCAATGAAGATTTCGATCACTTTCTGGATATCAAGAATATTTAATTTCAACTGTACTTGTGTGCCTGATGACAGCACAAGGCTCAATCGTCTCCTGATTGCTACTACTTGAATTTACCATCAAGAAGAATTTATTATCTACAGAGGGGCATACGGGGCAGTTGCCCTGGGCTCCCACATCAGAGAGAGCCCTTATAGAAAGTTCATTTTAAGTTGCCTTCTTCAGTGAACTTTTTTTTAAACAAAATATCAGTACAGTGTAAAATCTGTCAGTTTTATATTAGCTTTTTCATTAATCTATCGTATGAACGCAATTTATCTTTCGTAAATCCATGGCTTTCTAGGGCGGAATTCAGCCAAATTTTTGCAATTATGATAGACAAATTTGGACAATCAAAAGCCTGCATTTTTACATATCGCTAAGTGCGATATGTTTACAAAAATACAGGCTTCTGATAGGCTTAATTGAGCCATCGTAATTGCGTAAATTTAGCTGAATTCTGCCCTAATGTCAACAAGGATTTTAATTTTTCGCAGCTAGATGACAAAGTTAACAATCAGAAAACTGCATTCGGCATGAAATTGCGGCATAGAATTGCGAGAAAATCAGTAAAATGAACCGAACGATATTTCGTCTGACCATTTGGGGGGGGGGGANTGGGGGGGGGGGGGTACTTTATAGGTATTTCAGGTTCTAATCTATTTTCCTGTTATCTATAATGGGCTGAAAAATTTAAATACCTCCATAACGTTCGGTTCTTCAGAACTGAAGTAGTGAAGCAGAGGGGGCCCCCAAAGAAGTTCTCAAAGAAGGCCCCAATAAGGCTAAGTCGGGCCCTCGTTGTCTATCGAATTCCGATCACTTATTATAAAGCTAGAGAGCTGAAATTTAAATTTCAATACGTTTCTGCGTCTGACAACAAGCAAGGCTCTTTTAATTTCTGACTACCACAGGCAGAACGTATATACATTTTGTCGCAAAACGAAGTCTATTATCAATAATAATTCCGACAAGATTCCAAATAGCTAGGAAACTCAAATTTCAACTTCACTTCTGTGCCTGGTGAGATTACAAGGCGCAATCGTCTCCTGATTGCTCCTAATTGAATTTATCATCATTTTACCGTCAAGAAGAGTTTATTGTCTATTAAAATCCGATCATTTTTTGAAAAGCTAGAGAGCTCAAATTTCAATACATTTATGCGTCTGATAACAAAACAAGGCTCTTATGTTTTCTGACTACAACAGGCAGAAAGTATTATATTTTGTCGGCAAATAAAGTCTATCATCAATAAGAATTCCGACATGATTACAAATAGTTAGAATATTTAATTTTTCAACTGTATTGCAACAGGCAGAATTTAGCGTAATTTTATTGACAAATATGTATAGTCAATCAAAATTTCTACAACTTTCCTAAGAGCTAGGGGGTTTAAATTTCGACTACATCTCTTTTTTTATAAATAAAATCGTCTCTAGAACGCTACGCTATAAAAGCTGCGTTATAATGAGTGGTCAAATTAGTCGGTGAAAAATTCCATAAATTGTGTGAATGAATACTTTAATTCAAGTTAATTCCCAATGGAGCTTTATATGTTAAATCTGAACATCAATAATTGAGCAAGCTCACATGCATTTCATGAATTATTTTCGCCAATTTTAGCGTGCGTTAAGAAATTGTCAGATGACAAAGGTAGATTGACTACATATAGTGAAGTTCATCGTCACTTAACATTCTACTGAAACAGAAGTTAAGTGTTATAAAAGTCATGAATGTTTTTAGTTGGGTAATTAAGATACTTGTGTTCTCATAATGAGATTTACATAAATCTGTCGATTGTATTAAATGATTTTATAATGTTTAGTTCATATTTGCTTCTATTTTGTTAAGCCAAGTTCGATGTCATTTTATTATTCTTCCTGTGCTGAGAGTATGTTTGATTAACAAATTAATTTATTTAAAGAATTTGCTTTTTACTTTATATTGTTTCGTAAAAAAAATATATTGACTCTTTTTATGTATTTTATCTTACTATAATTATAAATTCCACCCCCCCCCGAGTTGCCTCACCATTAAAAAAGTTCTGCGAATCCTCTGCAGTAATTCATCATAATGAAATACTTTTATTATAATTTTTCAAAATTATCAACATTATTATTAATTTTGTCATACGTAAGCTTATTGTTATATTTGTTTCTAAAGAATTACGTAATAATTAATCAAACTTTATCAATTATATCCTTATCATAATGCATCAATATTTAGTAAAAAAATAAAAATTTAAGCTGAATTTATTAAAATTGCCTATAGTTTAATTTATTTTAATTTAGATCAATAAGCTTGTTATCATTTTTGTTTTTAAAAACTTAAGGAATCGTATTTTATCTTGTAACAACATTTTTCTATGTATTATTTTATTTTAAACTTTAGTTTGTTTCGACTAAAAATGTTGCAAGTTTTAATGGCTTAGTAGACTGCACATAAGGATGTTAGAATAGCGCTCCAAAAGTATTACAAAAACTTTAAGTGAGGAGGGAATATATGCTATATATATTCAAATCTTCAAAATGTTTGGGGAAAAAATAAGCCAGAATGCTACTACTTCACTCTAAGTTTGTTTTCTTTTTACTTTTTGTGAATAAAAAGCAAAAATCAGGAATAATATTTCGTTTTTTCACGAAGAAGAATTTCTTATTTTATTGCAGAATAAGTCATAAAATTTGAGTTATTTCCATATCAATCAATACAGTTGACTATCAGCAACAAAATATGGAAACTTTTATCTGTAAATGGAAAAGAAATATTTTATTTAATTTAAGAAAAGAACTTCGATTATCTATCTATTCGAAATCAAAAATTTAAAATAATTCAATTGTTGTTTGTTTCTGCAGGCATGTTAGGCTTGTTTTATTTCTAGAAAAATATTTATTTGAAATATATGTATAATAACGTTTAACTAAGAAAAATAAATAAAGGAAGAAGAAAAGAAACTGGTAAATAAAAGTTTTTTTAAAAATATGACTCAAATTTGACAATAAAATGTCATATGTTAAAAAAAATATGATTCAATTTAACTTAAATTGAACTGGTGAATCAAGTTAATTTTTAAATTTATGAAATAATAAAAATTATTTAAATAATAAAAATAAACTCTATGAAACGAAATTATTTCTGTTTTATATGTTCCATAGTTTAATCATTACGTAAATTTCTTTCTGATGAATTTAAATCACAGCTACAAAATATATAAATAGATGCAAATCCCTTCCCCCATTATTGCATAGGATTTTTTGTAAGATTAAATTAATTTTTTTTCCAATAATTGAATTATTTTTAAAGTTTACATCATTAAATATTTTGTAACTGCAAGATGTAAATGTTTTCAATGATATAAATATTTTTGCAGTTTACAACAAATTTTTGTCAATAAAAGAAATTTTGATGTAATATTTATCAACTAGTCAGTAAAACACCTTCCTTTTAGGTATCAGTATAATATTTCAATTATTTGAAACTGAATTATCACATTAATAAATCGAAAACATCACCGTTACATTACTAAATTACAGAATATTTGCAATGAAATAATTGTAATAAATATAAAACAATTTTTATTTAAAATTTTACAAACGGCCTCAAAAAACTAAAAACATTTATAAATAAATAATATAAAATAAAAGCAATAAAATGTATACGTGTTTTGCAAACAGTAAAATAATGCCTAAGTGAAAAAAATAAAAAAAAATAGACATTATACTGATTCTTAAAATAACTGTTAATATTTTCTGATAAGTAAAAACATTATCAAAGTAATTGCGTTAAATAAAACGAAAAAAGTTCTTTGCATCCAATAAAATAAATTAAAAACGAAAATAACTAATAAATAAGTAAATAACTAAAGATATTAAATAGATTCTTGAAATAATTGTATACCTTTGATACATAAAAATATTATTAACTCTAAATTAATCGAAAATCGTTTGATAATTTTATGATTTTTTTCAAATATTCCTAGCAATACAACACCCGATAATTCCAAAAATGCAGAAAAACAATAAAAAATGAGTTTAATCAATCAACGTTGCAAAATATCACACAATGCCTGCTATTTATAGGAGAAAACATGCCACCTGATTGGGGAGAAAAATTATCTTAACATTCGATAGTGAAACTTCTTTTTAAGCTCAGATAAGTACACACATAAGTTTAGTGCACAGATAAAACTGATGTTGGTGGAAGCGTTAACATGTGTTCAATAAATGAAATGGTTAAACTCACCTTATGTTATCGTCTGCCTTTACCTCTCTGTCAGGGAAGGTCTATAAACTTTTATCTGGTTGGGGTCGAGTTACTATTTTTAAATCTCTTTCGAACGGAGTCTGGGTAAACTCGGGAATTTTTTTTATTTTTTAAAAAACTTTTAAACGGATTTTCGCTAAGCTAAATCAGTCTTAGACTGATTGCGATTACACTTTACGAATGACATTATTGTTCCTTGAAATATTACGCAATCACGTGTCATTGTGTATACGTAATGAATGATGAAATTAGTGTTTTTGGTATACATGCAAAGTTTTCCTGCATTTGAAATGTCGTAATATAAAGGGTATAATAAAAACAGAAAATAAATATGTAATAGTATATGTTTTTTTCCATCTCTCTCTACTAAATCATAAAAAGATATTTGTCTAAAAACCGTTGTTTTACTGTTTTTGATTTTTGTCGCTGTATTCTCATTGAATTGAAAAAGCACGTGATATAACCATCAATTAACTAAGATTCGGGCATCTTTGGCCCTTTTTAGCTTAAATTTAAAAAAAAGATATAACGTTATTTACCTTCATATTAATTATTCATTACTTATTAATTTGATTTGCATATAATATTTATTTATTCTTCCATTCTCATCATATTCTACTTAACTTACGTTTTAGTTTTATTATTATTCGAAATTAAAGGCTTAAAACTAAGAGTGGTGTTTCTTTATTATGTTAAAAAATAATTATATGCTATCACCCAATGACACAACATTATATAATAAATAAAGTTATCCGTTTAATAGTTGCTAAAATCTTTTTTGCAAAAGAAAACCGTGAACACTTTTTACTTGAGCCGCGATGGGGAGAGAGCGTTCGCCTTCCAATGCGGCGAACCGGGTTCGAATCCCAGTAAATACGAATTCCGCATCCGGCTTGCACCGACCACAGTGCTGACGTGAAATATCCTCAGTGGTAGACGGATTATGGGTTAGAGTCCCCTTGCAGTCAGGCTGACCGTGGGAGGTTCTCGTGGTCTTCCTCTCCATGTAACGCAAATGCGGTTAGCTCAATCAAAAAGTCCTCCACGAAGGCAAATTTCTCTCAATACTCGATCCAGGAGTTCCCTTGTCTTCTGGATTGGGTTCAGAATTACAAGGCTGCGGAGTTGAACATTAGTAGTCGTAAACCCATAAAATTGGATCGGCTGTTCAACGACTGTTATAAAATAAAATAAGATACTCCTTACTGTCAGTTTGATGATAGGATGGCTCTCTTAGTCCTTTGTCCCCCAATGTCGATATTTTTTCAACACTAGTAACATCGGTATAATTGTAATATAGCCATATATATAGAGTGTCCAATAAATGTTGCGACAAACTTTGAAGTAGGGCTCATCATAAGAATTAAGAATTACTTAAGAAACCCTGTCCGGAAATGCTATCGTATGCCGCTAAGGGTGCTTTCCTATTATGTACTGTTACATCGTGTGTCTTTGAACAGCAGGTACTTTTATTTATCTAAATTATCTTAATTTTTTTTTGTTTTCTATTAATTTTTGTCAAAAACTGCTTTCAAATAGGTACAGTATTAGCTGTTTCATCGTAACTTGATGATTTGGTGACTAACTGGACTAGCTCGCCTACTTCGACTCTAGTAAGCTCGCTCATTTAAACTTGTAAATAAAAAACCTGAGATAGTTTCCAGGGTGTCCAATTTTTATAAGTTTAACTAAGTTATATACGTAATTACATAAATTGTTATAAGTTACCAAGACCAATTAAAAAAAAAATATTTGAGTAATTAGAAAAAACATAGCAAAAAAAAAGTATTCCTTTCATATATTTTACAAATCTATAACTTTTAACCAACTTCAACAGAAAAGAATTTTTTTTTTAATTATGAAAACAGTATGTTTTAAGTTAAAACATCATAAACAAACTTTTTATGCTCAGCTCTAAGCAAACACATAGCAACGAACTTCACTCCAATATTTAACCCTGAAATTTCGCATTTAGTATGCAAATATTAACTGCCAATAGCACGTAACGTAATATTTGAAGCCATAAACTGATAATAACACCTGTATCATAATGTAATGACTAACAAAGAGTACAATGACCTCTTTGTGAGTTGAAAAGCAAGTGATTAAGCTATTTTATTCAAAAGAGAAACGCAATAATTTACTTAGAAATGGTTTGTTAGCGAATGTATTTCGCAGAATCAAATACAATTAATTAAAGAAAGAATAACACTTTATCTAGCTTTTCTGTGACTCAGCGATGAGATACAAAGAAAAATGAATTATTAGAGTTTAACCAATCACATAAATTAAAAAAGTAAACAAGATGCTGGAATAAGAAAGGGAAAATATAAATGTATTAAGAAGAGTCTTAAGCAATTTATATATTCGCAAGAAAGCAGAGCCATTAATACATTTTTGAATACTAAACTTAGCTTATAGCTATTATAAGTTAGGGAAAAGTAATGACATTGACACTATAGCTAGAGAGTTGCAGGTTTTACTTTGAAGTATGACGATTTTACCAGACCTGGCCTCGTAACATTATTCAATATTTAAACGAACATATTGGTTAGATCAAAGATTTACTAATGATAATGTAATTATTAATAAATCTTTGAATCTTCCAATTACGGGAAAGTAATTTATTTATTTATTTTTAAACGTGGGCGTAGGACCGAAGGGAAAACGGGATCTACATATCATTTAAGTTTTCAAATGCTTTTTTGGAGCACTATTCTTTGAATCTTTTGCGCAATCTACTAAACCACTAAAACTCGCAACATTTTAACGCAGTTGAAGAAATGATAATAAAAATAATACTGACAGAGAGAATAGGGCCGGAGTTAAATGAAAGTTTCCATAAGACATAAGAATGAGCTCCTTGCGATAATTTAAATAAAAAATGAAGGAAGGAAAAAATGGATCAAGTTTTGGGAGAAATGTGCCTTCGTTGTGGACTTTTTGATAAAACTTACCAGCATTTGTGTTACATGGAGAGGAAAACCACGAAAATCTAACACGGTTAGCCTTGGCGGCAAGGGGATTCTAACCCATGATCCGTCTACCACTTAGGATATTTCACGTCAGCACTGTGGTCGATGCAAGCCGGATGCGGAGCCATTGCCGAGATCGAACCCCGGTTCACCCCATTGGAAGGCGAACGCTCTATCGCCTGAGCCTAGTGGCTCTCTTTTTTGGAAATTTTCTTCTTGGCGGTAGTTAGTCCCATTTATATAACAGGTTTTTTTTATTTCGTTTAAAAGTTTTACCTGAAAAAAAACAAGAATCAAGTTGTTTTTTTTTTAATTTAAAAAAAATGAATTTTTTTTTGTTTCTTTTTTCAGGTAAAAATTTTAAACGAAATAAAAAAAAACTGTATTATAAATGGGACTAACAATCGCCAAGAAGAAAATTTCCGAAAAAGAGAACGAGTCGCTAAAAGCCTCTGGATTGTAAGTTAGCGGTTGAGAAACTCACCAGACCTAAATCCTTATCAAATATCTTTGATCATCTGCAAGCAAAAACTCGCCAAAACGAATTGCTAAACGAAATGTATACATAGGTTAACATATTGTAAAACTGTAAAAGCCTAAAAAAATCTCTGTCGAAACAAGTTGTTTTTAAATCAAAAGCAGGGTATATAAAATGTACGAAAATGTATTACTATTCCCAAAACATTTTTGTTTTCCAAAACATTTTGAGATTGATTGAATTAATAAACTCGCTATGTAAGAGCGTACTAAATGATACTTATTTAACTTTTCAAGGATTAAAAAAAAAACAATAGGGAAAAAATCACCCTATACACGTGGCAAACAAAATCATTTGTAAAGACATGTATGTTTATGATTTAATTTAAATTTATGAGTATACAAGAGTGTCATCTATTCACCATTCTTAATATAAATTTTTAGAATCGATGTCAAAAATTGGGACAGTGTCAGCTGAATTTTATGGGTCGTAAATAATTATTTATGATATAAAAGGAGGGAAAATTATCAAATCACAATGAGGTGGAGCTTAAAGAAGATGAAAAACATAGTAAATGTGAAATAAAAATCATCAAAATTTATGCAAAACTTACCTATATACGTGACAAATACCTATATACGTGACAAATAAGATCATTTATAAAGAAATGTATGTTTATGATTTAATTTTAATTTAGGAGTATATATACAAGAGTGCTATCTATTCACCATTCTTAATATAAATTTTTAGAATCGATGTCAAAAATTAGGACAACGGTGTCTGAATTTTAAGGGTCGTAAATAATTATTTATGAAAAAAAAGGAGAGAAAATTATCAAATCACAATGAGGTGAATCTTAAAGAAGATGAAAAACATTGTAAAGATGAAATAAAAATCATAAAAATTTATGCAAAACTTACTTATATAAGCGACAAATAAAATCATTTGTAAAGACATATATGTTTATGATTTAATTTAAATTTAGGAGTATATACAAGAGTGCTATCTATTCATCATTCTTAATATAAATTTTTAGAATCGATGTCAAAAATTAGGACAACGGTGTCTGAATTTTATGGGTCGTAAATAATTATTTATGAAAAAAAGGAGGGAAAATTATCAAATCACAATGAGGTGAATCTTAAAGATGAAAAACATTGTAAAGATGAAATAAAAATCATCAAATTTTACTCACTGTTTGCCTACTTGCATGAAATCGGAAGTCTGCCATACAAATTTCTATGTGTGGGGTATCTAATAAATGATTCAAATTTAATCCAGAAATAAGCATAGACATATAAGGATGGCATAAGTCAGTGAGAATCTCAAATGTACTAATGAGGAAACCCTTGTAATGATATAAATTCCTAATGATAAAATAAATCATAAAATTACCAACCTGACCTCCATATCATTTAAATGTTTTTTTATATTTTATGAATCATGGCATCAATCAAAAATAAGGACAAGGCAATTCATAACATAAAACAGTATAGCGAGCAATTATCAAAACAATAAAGCTGCATGGTAGAGTTCNAATGAGGTGGAGCTTAAAGAAGATGAAAAACATTGTAAATGTGAAATAAAAATCATCAAAATTTATGCAAAGCTTACCTATATACGTGACAAATACCTAAATACGTGACAAATAAGATCATTTGTAAAGAAATGTATGTTTATGATTTAATTTTAATTTAGGAGTATATACAAGAGTGCTATCTATTCACCATTCTTAATATAAATTTTTAGAATCGATTTCAAAAATTAGGACAACGGTGTCTGAATTTTAAGGGTCGTAAATAATTATTTATGAAAAAAAAGGAGGGAAAATTATCAAATCACAATGAGGTGGATCTTAAAGAAGATGAAAAACATTGCAAAGATGAAATAAAAATCATCAAAATTTATGCAAAACTTACTTATATAAGCGACAAATAAAATCATTTGTAAAGACATATATGTTTATGATTTAATTTTAATTTATGAGTATACAAGTGTGTCATCTATTCACCACTCTTAATATAAATTTTTAGAATCGATGTCAAAAATTAGGACAA